AGAATGAAAACAATCTGTGGCCACCTAGCACTTCATGGCTGTCACTACCTTGCATTCCGCGGCCACTCAGTAACTAATGGCAACAGCAGAGCTAGAACTCAGAGCCACCAGTTCCAAAAACATGGGCCCTGACCACAGAAGCTAGAGTAGATCTGCCCACAGTTGTCCAGCTCTCATGCTGTCTGGTTGTGGGCTGTGGGATACCCCACACTGACGAATTCCCATGCTCACTAGTTAGATATAGCTCATCCTTGATTGCCGGGGATTTATGGAATTCCAGCTTCCTGATTGTCACCATGGATATATGGAATTTATGGCAATAACAGGGCTAAATTCCTCTTCCTCCAGAAGTACAGACCCCTACAAGATGAGCTAAGAGGGAATCAGCTTTGGAAGTTAGCAGTATAAGGCCTATGACATACAGTTAAATAGTTCTGAGTCCATCCAGAAGAGGGCAATATACACTACCCTGTTCATTACAATACAGGGAGATGGAATTCCTAGATTTCTCAGTAACATGATATGTTATTACAGACCCCTCTGAGCTCCTCAATTCTAATAATAAGGTCCCAAAATTTACACTCCACTTGAAATCTCAAACCGAGCCATAGCACCGGAGGTGACTTGGTAGCTATGTCATCAGCATTTGCAGAGAGCTAACAGGCATGTCAATTTATCCATGTGACAAAATGAGGAAATCTCATTCATTGCACATCTCCATTTGCCAGGCTGAGATCCCTCTGCAGAATAACTTGTTGCTACAGTTCTACATCAGAGCCCCATTACCGCATGATTCACTCCATAATACCTACAGCTCTCAAATACGCACAGTACAGATGTATGTGTGACAGGTGTGCGTTAGAATCTGAGCCAGTCAGGTCCTTGCTTATGCTCTTTTCAAAAAGGTACAGAATGCCATTTATTTTGATTTGTTTAAAATGCACCCACCAGCGCATTGTGTGCAGGTGTGGTACAATGGCCTAGTCTATGGGATCACATCTCCTTCTAGCAGATAACCCCAACAAAAATAAAAGTTTGTTATGTAAAGCTAGCTTAGGCAGTTGCTCATTCAGTTCAGGCAATCAGGTCTTCTTTTGGTGTTGAAGGTCCCAGGTTCAATCCCCATCGACAACAGTGGGATCTGCATGCATTACACCTATGTACATTTTGTCACTAAATACAATACCTTTGCATAGCTCATTTGGTAATCTGTACCTGTCTCTCCTTTTCCCAGGTTTTTGTTTTGTTTTTTTACCTTTGCACATCAACATCCAGACAGAGAAGCAGAGCTCTGCACTTTCAATAGCTACTGTATTTGAAGGCCAAAGAGTGACAGTGTTTAATAAAAGAAAATATATATTTAGGCACCAATCCTGCAAACACGCACACACTTTTTTCCACCAGATTTCAGTAGACCAGCATCCAAACTGGCCAGCATGGGTCTGTACCATTGCCCTCACTTGGATAGAATCAGAGCTTCTTAGCTGTGTATAGTTCTGTTTTGGCTTCAATGGAAGGGATCATGCTTTTGCAGCCAGTGGCTTTGACTTCTATCCACACTGTTGCCACTAAGTTCTGAACGGCCATGGTGTGTAGCACACTGCAAGCCATGAGTTCAGTTATGCACATGGATTGAGGGCTGGATTTTACTTCTTTTTCTGATCAAAACAATATTGTAATAAGCTTATGTTTTAAGTTCTGGTGGACCAGCTATTCTCAGGGACAGGTACAGTTCTGCTAATACAGCAGTTCTCCTGGCATGCCACATCTAGAACTCAGAAGCACTTGGCATACCACCTTTCTCATTTTAATCAATGTAGTTATAATGGATTTATTACGCTGATACTATATCTTAAATCAGCCAGCATATTATCTGATCACAGCTCACGCACCACAGTTGGAAAACTGCAGAACGATTAACTATCACACATTTGTTGTTTCCTTTTAATTCATTAAAATGTCTTTGTATTTAGCTACTATCCTTGAATATTAAATATTTTCAGAGTCATTTAAAAATACATTACAGATGAGTCTGAGCCTCAAAATTCAAATCTAAATGGAAAATAATTGACATGAGAAGGGAATGGATCTTGTAGTATATATTGTTAGTTTCTGTCTCTATCCCATTCTAGAGCACAGATCAGACTTGCATGTAAGAGTTGCCAAATGATTCTCATTAAGAGGATGAACATATTTTCAGTGACATATGTCTGACCGACTTAACTTACTTGGCTGGGCACTGCAGCCAGTGACACCAAAATAACATACAGCTGGCAGTCTTTGTTCAAATACACCTAAATTAAATTTAACACCATTAGAAGATGGCCTCACCCTGGAGTAGGTTTAAGGTCATCTGCAAATCATTGCAGTGTTAATCACCCCCTTGGCCCTTACAAGAGTTGTATTCATTGTAATATATGTAGTTCCTCATTCTCCAAAGGCAAGTAATGGAAAACACACAAACTGGCAGGTCTCAAGGTTGATTTCTGTTGCACTCGATTTATTTGTAACAGAGAATGGCTGATAAACATTTTCATGATTAAAAATGTACTTTGCCAACAAATTATTATGAGGGGGCTCAGAGCATCACATCTCACTTGTTATTCTGCATGCACACAATCCACACAACATAGAATCATAGAATTGTAGGACTGGAAGGGACCTTGAGAAGTCATCTAGTTCAGTCCCCTGCATTCATGGCAGGACTAAATATTATCTAGACCCTCTGAGCCACATATGACAATCTTCAGAAGTTCGAGAGCCAGGGCACACCTGCCGGGAGCCGGGGACTAGGGCTTCAGCCTGCTCCTGCTGAAGCCCCGAGCCCTCGCAGGTGTGCTGCACAGGGATGAAGCTCCAAGACCCCCCTCTCCCTGTTTCTGGGACACCATGTTGTTATAACTACTATTACAGTACTGCCCCTGCACAATCACATAGCAAAGCAGTCCCAGCCTTGGTGCACTTCCAGTCCAAATAGAACAGACTGACAAAGGATTTTCCAGATGAGGACAGAGGTAGAGAGATTAAGGAAATCATCCAAGGTCACACATGAAGTCTGTGGCAGAGCCAGCAATTGACACCCCCCTCCTATTCTCCAAGCGCTAGGCTACTGCCTTAACAGCAAGACCATCATTCTGCCATGTACAATGGAGTCTCTTGCAAGGTCCCGGGGAAAGGGAGGGCCCTGAGTGCAGGGTCTGTAAAATCTGTGTAAATACAGTGAAATGGGAGGGGCCCCAAATCTCTCTCGATGGGCCTGGGTTCAGGGCAGACTTACAGTTGGTGTTTGGAGTTTTAAATGAGTTGCTCAAACTAGCTGGTATTCAAGGTTTGATTTTTTTTTCTTAACTTCAGCATTCCAGCTTCCTCACTTGCAAACATTTCTTTGTGTAACCTGTGTGTGTGTGTGTGTGTGTGTGTGTGTGTGTGTGTGTGTGAGAGAGAGAGAGAGAGAGAGAGAGAGAGAGAGA